ATTTATGTTACATGTTTCAGTACCATGAAGCAGAAAAGGGCAAAAAGTGTTGGGCCCTGAATTTAAAAATGTTACTTCTTTCTTATTGTCTGGGTGAGGCATGGTACAACCAAGGGGTGGGGAATTCTGAATACTTTGTTAAGCTTTTCAAACAGCACTGCTTGGACATTGATATTCAAAATTGGCAAAGTGGACTCAAGCTATTTCTGAAGCTGTGCTTTTATAGAAAATTTTATTATATATTTGGTCAAGAGAATTATTTTAAAACAGTCCAAAAAGACTGTTACAGGGAAGAATTGTGTCGCCTAAGAATTTCTGTCCATTGTCTACGTATTGAAACTGATAGAAAAATCCATAATACACGTACAGAAAGAGTTTGTATTTTATGTAATACCAATTGTGTAGAGGACAAGTACCATTTTTGCATTATCTGTCCGTTTCACCAAGAGTTGAGATCTAAATACATCCTATGTTATTATTATACACTTCCCTCACCCGAAAAATTTATATCGCTAGTACAATTACAAAATGCAGTAATCTTGCGTATTATTTCTAAATTTATTTTTCTCGCCACAAAAAAACGTAATACAATTATTTTGGTCTGACAGTTCATGTTCTTTTAATATTTTCTTGTTCTTTTTCAGTCACTGTAAAATGACATTGTCCTTTGTAACATGTTATGTAATTACAATGAGTATACCTTGAGGCCGGAGGCCTACAGTATTATAAATAAATTTATAAAAAAAAAACTATATTTTGCCCACTTGAATAATCCATTTACAGAAAATTACTAGTATATTGTTTTTATTTGCAAAAGAGATTCCATAGCATTTTACAATTTTCCTTCATTTCCAACAAACGTGCACACTTCCTGATGCATCGTCGCCAGCCAAGGTTCGTTTATTTAGTCATCGCTTTAACTTTACACCAAACACTGATCATAATTATCTAGAATGGAAGCAAAAAATAAGTAAATCATAATGATTAGAACACTGTAAACCGCAATAGTAAACAATGCAAACTGATTTTAAATTGTATAACGGTCACCGGCCCACGGCATCGACGCAGAATATTGGAGCAACAAATATTTCCTGATCAATTGCGTTGTGTTTCAAATAAGAAATATTCTATTGCAGTCCAAATCAGCTTAATTACTTTAATAAAGAGTTAGTGTATAATGTACAAAATGTTGACACATTTTGATAAATATTCACAGCTACGGCTTCAATACCGTAGACGATTTTGGCCCGATCGTCAACAAAACATCACCCGTTTCCAGGTCAAGCGACTGGAAGAAGATACCGGTGTTCGGTCGAACCGGTGGGAAAAAATCGTCACTCTCGGAATAACTACGCAAAATAACGACCTAAACTGGAACCATTTAAGCCACAATATCAACGTAAAAATAAAAATGACTTTCCTTGCAATTGACAATGATAAAATTACCGAAAAGCCGTG